ATTACACGTCGTACATGTCACAGGTATTAAATACCTTTCAGGAATAATAGAGGAGTACCTTTCTGAAACTGTTAAATGCGCCTGTGAATAGATTCGCGATTCTTTGCAATTAGTGTGCACGTGTGTTACAGAAAAAGCGTGTGGCATTGCCGAACATACAAATGTATTAACTTAAACTGAGATTCGTTGATATGTCATCGCAATTCTAAGCAGCAGCCAATCAAATTATCCTGGCATATTAATTATATACGACGATATTTCGACGAGTTTGCCCACGGGTGATGAGTAAAAGACAAGATCATGCGTGGGTATCCGACAGTGGATCAGTGCTTGTTTTCAATTTTTGTTTTATCCAATGCTAATTTTTTTTTTTTTTAAAGAAATGAATTTAATTTTTTGAGAATTCATGAGGACATGAACTACGACGTTTCACGCCGGCATATTTCACGAAGCGCGTTAGTCCTTCATGATAAATTTACAGGCGTGAAGCATTGTAATTCATGTACCTGACATGAATTCTCAAAAGTTAAATTAATTTCTTATATTTACATTATTTCTGGTGACTTGCTTAATAATTTTGTCATTCGATGATCTTTTTTTGAAAAAGAGATTGCACTATTTTTTTTTTACTTCAAATACCTCACAACGAAAATATTCTTTCTCATCCCAGTAGTTCATGAGAACGTGAATTTTTTCTAATTTGCAATGAATCTTAAGGAAAAATATTCGGAAATTTTAATATTAAATCAATTAATGTTCTCATCCATTGTTTACTAAGACTTATTCTGCTTGAAATCCTACTTCCACGTCCCCGTGATAAACAGTGGGATAGGTCCTTCCTGCTTAACGAAAGAGGTAAATGTTAATTTAAGTCGCGGAAAAGTTAAAATATAATTATCGCGGGAAAATAGTATAACTTGGAGCGGAAAAGCAGGATTTCATTCGTGGAAGAGCAGTGTTGCATCGCGGTAAAGTGGAAATGAGAAGTATGAAAAAAAAAAACCCAGGAGAAAGCCATATTCGCTTGATATCTTGATCTTTTATGCCCCCTATGGGAATATTAAACAAGAGGCCTAGGGGCCACATCGCTCACCTGAGCACTGTGGCTATGAAAAGAGGAAAAATCTGTTTAGTATTGAAAAGCTTAAATGCATAAGTGGTCCCAACATACCCCTAAAAGGGAGTGGGGGATATGATTTGAACAAAATTAAATCTACACTAACTAAGGATGCTTACATGATTTTTTGACTAACTGTGAATGTTTTCTCTACAAATTTGAACTTTCATTGTGGCCCCTCCCTACCCCTGGAGGTCATGATTTGAACAAACTTGAATCTACACCATCTGAGGATGCTTCCATTTAAATATTACCAATCATTGCTTTGCTGTTATTGAGAAGAAGATTTTTCAATAATGCCATTAATTTTTTGCTATTTCGTAATTATCTCCCCTTGGAGGGGGGCGTGACCCTTTATTTGAACAAACTTGAATTCCCTTTACCCAAGGATACTTGCCAAGTTTGATTGAAATTGGCCCAGTAGTTCTGGAGAAGAAGATGAAAATGTGAAAAGTTTATGACAACGACGATGACAACGACGACAGACAACGGACAAATTTCGATCAGAAAAGCCCACTTGAGCCTTCGGCTCAGGTGAGCTAAAAAGTATAAAACTGACATATGATTTCAAAGTATTTCCTCCTTAGAAAATGAACTATGAGTCTAAGTTGTTGCACTTGCAGATTAAATCCAAGTTCCTCTGAAAAACAATTGAAATAATGAGCCTTACAAACAAAGACATTATTATTTCTGGGATCATTACATACAGATCGTGTAATCTAATCCTTTTTTTCTTTTTTGAATTATTGAAACTGCATACATCTCAGACAGTTTTCCTGTTGAATGTGCCGTAGTCATTTTCAGTAGTAGACAAGAAGTATTTATCAAGATGTTGAGATTTTTATTTTATATACGAGTATCACTTAGCTGCATACAAGAAAAATAGGGTTTGGGCTAATAAATGAGGCAGTTCATGTTTGCTTGTCCAGAAATCTCAATGGTGAGACAATGCAATAAAGCTCCATAAAGCTCCAAGACCAATAGAATAAAGCTCAAATATCTGTTTTTTGTGTTTTTGCAACATAATTATACACTTTTTAATACTTATGATTTTGAGATTTCTAAACTATATTCCAAAATGTCTTTAAAAAATATAAACACCAAAAGTTTGATATCAGAATTTCAAGTAATATTCAATGGGATTATAAAGGAAATACCATCTGGTATCTTGCACAGTGCCTGGTACTGCATCTCAATATGAGGAAAATTTTTAAAGTAGCTCAATATCAAACAAAAATTACGGAGAAAATATATATTATGGAAAAACATCAATCAGATGTGAATACTAAAAATATCCAGGGAACTTTTAAAAAAATTTGAAATCACGCAATTTTACCAAAATCAATATAATCAAAACGTTTCTTTTCAGCATTTTACACAGCATTCGCTACGATTAATTGAAGCCCAGGCTTTTTGACATCATAGACATCTGCTTTTTCAATAAAAACGGAACTCGTAAATTTACTTACCTTAATAGCTTGTCAATGGTCATTTGCAAAATTGTTTTGATAAAAATCATTCTGATTGTACACAAGTTCCAAGAACTTGATATTAAAATGATGCTTGAGTTTCAGAATGACAATATCTATATAGTTTTTGGAGATCAAGTCCTTCAAAAGTCTGTCGGAATTTTCATGGTACTGATTGCGCCCTGTAATTAGCAGACATATTTTTGAATTCAAATGAAGCAGAATTTATTTTTAAAAAAAATTCTACATAAAATAAAGTCTCTTGCGGTGGCCTTCAACTCAACATTTATCAGCGACCTTTTATCAATTATCAATATTCATTTTCATTCCTACGTTTATTCGATAAATCTGTCTGAACTCGAAATAAAAGACACCACAGAGTCTGGCACATCCATATTTGGATATTTTACTAGGATAAGACGTTAATGGAAACCTAACAACAAACCTTTTTGATAAACGTGATGACTATAACTTTTCAATCGTCAACTTCCCTTACTTATGCAGCAATATACCTTCATTACCTGTATACAGGTTTTATATCTCTCAGTTGATTCGATACGCAAGAGCATGCTCTACGTATGAACAATTTCTAAAACGAGGCAAGTTATTGAAAAACAAGTTGATGAAACAAGAATATCAGCAGTCTCCTTTAAAGTCATCATTTCGTAAGTTCTATGGTTGATACAAGGACCTTGTCAGCTAATACAATCTATCATTAAGTTAAATGCTGACTGATTTTTTTCATACTAATTGTTAGACCATTTTTAACACACTGATTTGTCTATGATTTTTCCATTTTCCCGACCACGACAAGAAGTACATGGCGGATGTGCCCGGTCGGCAGGGGATGCTTATACTTCCATGGCACCTTACCCCAACTCTGATGTTTTTAGATGTCCATGTTTGTTTTGCTTCAAATTTGTATTGTTTCAATGGAATTTTGAGCTTGTTTACTGCTCATTATTTTCACGTTTAATAAATTTCATACTATCCTAGTAGAAACTTCTAATTTTCAAAAATGATTTTGACCTTAAATTGAAAAATAAAATAATTATAAATGTAACCACCATGGAGGCTTTATCGTAAAATTTAATATGTTTGTGAACCTGCATGATACAGACAAACCTTATTAACTTGAACTCGGTGGGACCAAGAAAAACTTTGAGAGGTCTGACAGTTAGACATATTGAGATTAAAATGCATAAAGAAAAAGTGACAGGGACGTCCAACTCACTTTGAGATATCCATGGTATCCGAGATATTGACGTTCAAGATACTGAAGTTTAACTGCCTAAAAAGAAAGAAAAAAAATCCATAGCTCAGATATTTTTCTGGAATGCCAGTGTCTGAATGACATGTGATGCTTGCGATGGACTCCTCTCTAGAAACTCCGTCTCAGGTATTTTGTAATAAGGTATGAGGTGAGTTTTATATCCAAATGAGATGGTAAAGGAAAGAGGTAGGAGTTATATTTCCCAGTGAGAGCATTACTTATTTTCATTGTGTATGATTAGATATAGATGTTCTTATATGTCTACATGAAAGTGTGCAATTTTTTAATGATGAGTGATGTATATATTATTCGATGAAAAGAAAAAAAGAAAGCTGTTTAAATTAGTGTTGTCTAATATGTGTCAATCAGTGCATGTATATGTTTGGATATTGTAATTAGCTCTGTTATTGATGATGACGTACAAGAATAATCTTCGAACTTCACGTAAGCTTGTTTAGATCTTGGCAAGTAGGCCACACCAAATGATAATATCAAAACTTTCCCGATCTGTTTTTTTCCTTAATTTTTCCCCTTCAAATTATGGACTCTGATATAAGAAAGAAGATCAAATTTTATTATCATTTTACTCACGAAAATCTTTGACGTGAACTGCCTTATTAGTTAGTTCTATTTTTTGACAAGCAGATTTGAAATACCTGATTAGTTAGCTCAATTTCTTTGAGACAAACATGAACTACCTCTTTGGTAAGGTTTTGTCGGACAAGAGAACAAACTGCCTGACTAGTTAGCTTTATTTTTCTGGACAAACGAACTTGAAGTACCTTTCGCATAAGGCGGACTAAATAGTGAGTTTGGTCTGCTTCTCTAATAAGATAAGTTTATTTTTCATTTGAAATTGCAAACTTCATTATGTGGGCGCCCTTGTTCATTGGAAGTTTGATAGCGCTACGCACAGAGGACTCCAATGATCATCCATGCATAAATTAACATCGATGCCGTTGTTCAATAATAATCTGACAATGTTGTCATATCCATGGAAACAATCTGCATGGAGAAGACTTTATTTAGTACCATCTTACCACAGCAGAAAATGATGTAGGTGCCGTTTTTTTTTTTTTTTAGTAAAGTAAGTAGTATCATTTTTAGAAGCTTTCCACAGAGGACTAATTCTTTTGCCGTCTCATGAATTGATATTGGCACCATTTTCCAGTAACAGTTGGACTATGTCGTTGAGTCCATTTTGAATAGAAATAAGCAGTGGACTAAAGCCGTCTTTATTACATAGGTTCACGTCTGCATTAGCCTTTACTAAGAGTTCGACGGTGCTTTTGTGTTTTTTTAAACAAGCAATATATAGAGGAGTGTCGCCATTTCTGTTGATGGAATTGATGTCAGCATCTAAGTTCAATAAATGTTCTACAATAGCATCATGTCCATATTTGCAAGCTAAAAAGAGTGGACTTGTTTTATCGTTGCTACATAAATTAACGTCTGCTTTGTTTTTCAGTAAAAGTTCCACTATGCTACTGAATCCTTTTTCACAAGCCACAGAGAGAGGACTAATTCCCTTGTCATCACATTTAACGACATCGGCACCTTTATTCAATAAAATTTGAACCGTGCTGTCATGTCCATTTTGACATGCTGCATACAGAGGACTAAAATTGCCTTTCATGCATAAATTAACATCGGAGTCCTTATCAAGTAACCACTTGACTATGCTCTCATGACCGTTGTAAGAAGATACATAGAGAGCACTGGCTCCATCGTTATTACATAAATTAATATCGGCGCCCTTATTTAGTAGCAGTTCAACTGCTTTGTTTTGTTTCCTTTCACATGCTATGTATAGTGGACTGTTTCCATTATTTGCACATAAATTGGCGTTTGCGCCATAGTCCAGTAATAACTGGACTGTGCTGTTATGTCCATTATAACAAGCAATATAAAGAGGATTGAATCCATTGCCGACACAAATATTTATTTTTGCGCCATAGTTTAGTAAGTGCTGAACCGTTTTAAAATAACCATAAAAACATGCTGCATATAGAGGACTATATGTAAAATTTCCTTTTATGCAAGAATTAACCGCGGCGTTTTTCTCCAGGAGCAGTTGGACAATGCTGTCGTTTCCTTGGAAACAAGACACATAAAGAGGACCGAATCCATTTTTTGCACATAAATTCACTTCACCACCATTGTTCAATAACAGCTGAACAGTGTTTTTATGACCATGAAGACATGCTGTATACAGAGGACTGTAATTGCCTTTCTTGGATAAATTGACACCAGAACCATGTTTTAGTAACAACATCACAATATTCTCATGTCCTTTTTGACTAGCTACGTAGAGAGGACTGGCTCCATCATTTTCGCATAAATTCATATCGGCGCCACTGTTCAGTAAATGCTGGACCGTTCTAAAATGACCATGAAAACATGCTATATGGAGAGGACTAATATTGTCTTTTGTGCACAAATTAACACTGGCCACTTTCTTTAATAACAGTTGTACAATACTGTATATTCCCTTTTGACAAGACACATGAAGAGGACCGAATCCATTTTCGTCACATAAATTGACATCAGCACTTTTGTTCAGTAAAAGTTGAACCACGCTTTCATGACCATGAAGACATGCTATAAACAGTGGGCTGTAATCACCTTTCTTGCATATATTAATATATGCACCTTTTTCAAGTAAAAGTTGTACCGTGCCGCCATGTCCATTTTGACAAGCTATCCAAAGAGGACTTGTTGCATCATTATCACATGAATTGATGTTGGCGCCGTTGCTCAGTAATAGTTGAACCGTGCTGTCATGTCCGTTTTGACAAGCTATCCACAGAGGGCTCGTTCCATCGTTATAACATAAATTAATATCGGCGCCTTTGCTCAGTAATAGTCGAATCGTGCTGTCATGTCCATTTTGACAAGCTATCCACAGAGGGCTCGTTCCATTATAATCACATAAATTGATATCTGCGCCGTTGCTAAGCAAAAGTTGAACCGTGCTGTTATGTCCATTTTTACAAGCTATAAAAAGAGGCCTCTCTCCGCTGTTAGAATGTGCATTAACACGGGCGTCTCTCCGTAGTAATACTTTGACTGTGCTGTCATATCCATTTTCACAAGCTGCATGGAGGGGACCATATCCTATTTTGCTTCGTAAATTTATATCAGCGCCATTTTTCAGTAGACACTGAACAGTTTTATTACGTCTTTCGCCCTCTTCTTTCTCCTTTCCCGCCTCCTGTATATGCTCTTCATCATTTGCTGCAGCCAGTAATAATGGCGTATACATTTCATCAGAGGTAAACGTGTTGACATTAGCGCCGAGTTTTATTATCTCTGGTATAATTGAAAAGTTATGGAAGACGGAAGCAATATGGATAGGTAAAAGTTTTCCCCACATTTCAAATACAGCCGTCTTTTTATATTCCTGGTTAAGACAATCTAGTAGCTTTGAATCACCATTTGCACACACAGCAGAAAATATAAATAAATGCTGCAATGTAGTTTGAGGGATACTTTTCAAGAAAAATGAAGAAATGTCATCATGACAAAATGTGATGAACCCGGTCATAGGACATATTTCATCTTTCAGTTCAAGGAAAGCAAGTCTCGAAAAGCCAAAGCCTTCAAAAGCTTTTAGAAATTCTGATCTGTCTATTTCACACTTGATATTTAAAGAAAGCTTTGGGAGATTTTCGAGAGAATTTAATTTTTCTTTAAAGTAGCCGATCACACTTTCATTCCTTAAACAGGGATTTAAAAGTACGTCTATTATATGTTCTGTCTGAATGTCCATGATAAACCTGTTTACAAGATCACCTATGTACTCTTCAGGCAGGTAAACAGTGAAGGGATTGCGATCTTTCTCTTCTATGTCGTCCTCTAGCTTCATCCTGCGCCTAAGAAAACCACTGTCCGTATAATGTATTGTCTCTCGTGGACAATCAACACCAAACACCAAAGTCGCTATCTCCATAATAAAGTCGTGAAGGAATTGGAATCCTTGTCCGACACGTTTGACATAAGATCCTTCCAGTTCTTGTAGAGTATTGCGAATGACTGAAATGTTTGTGTTTTTTTTTAATTCACACATTCCTAAAATGTCTTTATATTTTCGTATAGAATTGTCATTTCCTCTAATAGAATCAATATTCAGATTGTTTTTAAAAGCTGCAACTAAGACAAGAGCGCAAAACTTCTTTTTATCTGTTTTCTTCCATATTTCAATTTCCTTCTTAATGAATTTGTATGGATATTTGAAGAAATCAACCCCCTTTTCCTTGAAATTTAACTCCCTAGAAAAAAGCTTACAAAGCAATGGAAAATAAGCTTCTGTTTTAGTAATTTCTGTAGTAATATCTTCGGATACCTGCAGACCCCGTGTGTACCTTTTGAAGATTGCTCTTTTCTCTTCATCTGTCATTCCATTTTCTTCGTTGTCAATCTCAACTATAGTGGAATCCTCCAATAGAATACCCTTCACTCTCTTGTCATAAACAACGCATCTTCTACACGATACCAATAATTTAACCCTTTTCAAACAAATTTCCAGCGTATTCTGATACGTTTTCCATGAATGATATGATATTTCATCTAAGGATTCCTTACCTAAAGGATCGTTGAGTACAAAAAGGGTCTGATTTTCTGACAGGATTCCATGCGAGCATACTTCCTTAATCTCTTCCACCTTATCCACCGGTGTCACGTTCCATCCCCTCTCTTTATACTTCAGTGCAATATGTTGAATTATTGCCGATTTTCCGGATCCAGAGTTTCCAACAACAGTTACAAGATTCTGATTTTTAAGTTTTTCTTCAATGACTCCACATGCTGTTGTAGGAACAAAGCTAGCGTTTTCTTCTTGCCAGTTCTTGAGAATTTCTCCGATCAGCGTGTTTCCTATAAACGATTATATATGTTTTATATTCATTAGAAAATCAGATTATATACACAGCTACGCAGCACAGTTAAGGCTGCAGTAAGGAGGCGGGGCCTAATTTATACGTGAAATGCTTACTATGACATCACACAAAAATATAAGTTCTTCAAATTACCACAAAATGAAATGATTTGCTATTTTAAACTGTTTAATAGCTTTAAACTACATCAATACTAACTAGTGCATGCATTATTGTCGTTGGTTAAATCCCACACAGCAATATATAAACAAAATTTACGATATGACGTCACATTGACAAGTGCATTGCATTCACTGATCGCAATGCACTTGTCAATGTGACGTCATATCGTAAATTTTGACGCAGTTTGTATGCAGTGAGAGGCGGATCAAGTTATATTTATACAATGAAAAATGTATTTTGTAATTAAATAAAATATAACTTGTAGATATATAAGAGGCCATTAACTTGGATGCGATTTCTATTTTATGATTTTATTCATATACTTCCCGTTCATTCCCTAGACAAGCGATACTGTCGTATATTTGTATGCAGATTCATTGAAGGGTAATAGAAGGGTCGTAATAAATCGATTTATTGCAAGGGCATACCCTCAATGAATTACGACAAGCTTTTACACATAAACTCAAGAAGTATGAAGATATTTGAAAAGTGCTGTGAACCTGTTGAAATCTTGCAAATGAATTAATCATATCTATATTTAATGTACTTGACCAGCAAAATATTCAAAATACGGCCTAACAAATGTAATTTTAGCAATTAGATAGTAGAATCTATATAGGTTCGCAGCACTTTTTACAAACTACAAAGATTGTTGAAAATATTTATATGTTAAACTTAGATTTTTAACTTGGTTATGCCCTTGCAATATTAGAATATATAGATGACCTCAATACTTCAGGTATATTTGCTAAAATCACGTGACTGCCACATCACGTGACAAGTCTAAATAAGAAATCCAATCGTCTTCAACATGTAGTTTTCAACCACATTGCATTTGTCCGATAATAGTAAAGTCCTAAAAAGAAACGCTCATCCTCTTAAAGAATATATTTTCTATCTAAAATATTTGCCGATATTTCCATTTGGCACCTTAACTGTACTGCGTAATTGTGCCACGTACGTGTAACGTATGGTAGCACATACCATATGTTACACGTATGTGAAACATACGTAACGCATACGTGTATTCCAACCGCACGTTACACGTACGTGGTATAACGTATGGATAATATGCGTGTGACAACATACATTTCACATAACATACGTGAAACGTGCGGTTGGAATACACGTACGTGTTACGTATGTTTCACGTACGTGTAACATATGGTATGTGCTACCACACGTTACACGTACGTTTATAAATGCATGGTTTACATGTGTATTGTCAACCACACATTACACATACGTTAATGAACACGTGGTTTACATATGTATTGTCAACCATACGTTACACATACGTTAATAAACGCACGGTTTACATGTGTATTATAAACCACACATTACACATATTTCACACACAGGGTTTACATTTATTATCAACCACACGTTACACATACGTTAATATATGCATGGTTTACATGTATTAAAAACCACACATTACATGTGCTTTAATGACAAGTATGAGTGTTATCAGCTATGTTACATGTAGGGTAATAAAAATTGTTTTACATGTGTGTGAAAAGCTGGCTGTGTTTGAGAAGGCTGTATATTTTCTATATTAATGGTACTTTTACATACATGTACGATAAATGTAGGTCAACTATATATGATTAAATTCAATCCTTTTTAATTTTTTTAATTTCAATTTCGTTTGATTAATTAGTAAAAATATTATTTAATTTTTGTCAACAAGTGAAAAAAATCCCTAAAAGTTTTATTGTTGCTGGGACTATATAATATTCTTAAATTGGTGACATTTTCAAATACTGTAACAGGAACTTTTTGTACAAAAGTAAACCTCAGACCAAATACTTCTTTTTTACTTAATAATTCAGAGTGAATTTGGAGAACTAATCAAGATAATGTTTAACAATCAACAGGTCCGGCACAATCTCTTGATTAAGCTTTATAGCTTGAAATAGCTATATAGCTTTATTAAGCTATTCAAAATAGCTTGATAAAGCTATTTATATGCAGGTTTTCACAAAAATGTTATTTGTACAAAATAGACAAAAAGTCCCAAGTATTTGACTATTCATATATGTAATATGGGTTATCAAATCAACAACCCAAATCAAAGATAGTTCTAACATTGCAGCATTTGAATACTTTTAAGCAAAAGATGAATTTCCATTGTTTGGGTAACTGTACACTATCTTGTGTGAGTTGAGGCATGGATAAGTATGATTGCTTCTCATTGTACTGAATTATTACCAATCAATTATCTTGTTGACCATAATTGGCCTCCTTTATAATTTCATTGAAGAGGTAACTGTATCAATTGCTTTATATAGCCCCCAAAACTTTTAGAACTTTGAGTACAAAGTCTCTTAAGGAGACGCAATTTGATGAGTGATTTTTACATGCATTATTTTCATAAGAGTTCAAGGTTGAATATCATCACTGAACCAAGGTGCGACTTTTTGTACATAGTTGGAAAATAACACATTTGAGAAAAAAGTGTGATAAAATAGCTAAATCAAGCTATTCTGAATAGCTTAATAAAGCTATATAGCTAAATCAAGCTAAATAGCTTAATCAAGAGTATTGCGACCAACTTGGTCCAAGTATAAAATCCCTCTTAAAACGGGACCCTAGATCATAAGTTGCGTGGATTTTAATCATTATACTGTAATATATTTTAAAGACTTAACTATTTTTCTTTTCAAAAAAATAATATCATATCATGATCTATGATAATGATGATTAAAACCCAATCACCTCTGAAAGCTCAAAGGTGTGTGCATTGTTGACTTGTTGTGCGTGTTTTGCGTCTTTAATGTTGCAATTTATTTCACATTGTTTACCTTACATCCACTTGCATGTCTGATATGGAGTAATCAGTTCGCATTGGTGTATAATTTACTCTTAGAGCAGTAAAACATAGCCTATATAGGTGTCATAACAGTATTTCACTTGAGGTTCACGTCAAATCATGGCTGACGCAAAATAATTCCTGAATCCTCCCTTCCGATTCGGGCATTTCAACACGAGACTGGAGCTGAATTTTTTTATGAGATGAAAAACAATATGTAAACTTCCTGTATTGACTAGATTCATTAAAATTTAGGGCGTACTGAATTTTCTATATACTGTATTTGAGTGGGGAGTGATTAGGTCCTGGACTTGATTTTCAAGCACCTGCTCGACTTCGAGCGAAACAAACTTGCGTGCCTTGCTGGATGGCTATGTATTTTTTGGTACTAAAATCTTTATAAAGAATTGTTTTACAAGATCTGAAAAGGAAACTTCTCAAAAGTTTGTTTTCAATTAATACCACCTACTCAAAGTTGCGCATTTTTGGTAAGAATATATAGCAAAATTTAATACTGTTGTGCAACCTGCAGTAAAACCAGATTTTATACTTCGAAATATTGTAGTCTATAATTTAAGGTTTAATTTCGTGAGTTTAGACGGAAAATGAGAAATAATGGCATTTTTTGGCCGTCATTGCTGTTCGTTCGCGTTTAATGGAGCATAGAAAATTAGTCCAGATTTCCTCTAAAATAATTTATCTTGACCACACAAGGGCCTGATTTCGATGTATCGGGTTGAGAGAAATGCATGAAAATTAGAGGACACTTTAACAAATACCTTGCCATCACACTCGTTAACATTATTTACTCATAAACAATTTCAAAATCTATCAATTTAAAGAATTTAGACTAAACCCGGAGCAAAATAAAAATTCTGAATATGTGTAAATATCCGTTAATTTGGAACACAGTGGTAACAGATAAAGAAATCTGGTCCGTAAAAAGAATTTTTTAGGCAAAACAATCGTAATTAAGCAGAAAACGCCATGATATTTCAATAATATGTATTATTTCAATGCTCTTTTTAACCCCACCCCCCTTCCTTATGACAAAGACTACTTCTTTCGCCCTGTTATAAAAAGCAAACATATTTTAAATAATTTTTAATCCTTATGTGAATCAGTATGCATTAATCAAAAATTTGAGACGAAAAAACAACAAATGTTCAACGCGCAAGATCATTACATACAGTTCAACTTTTGCCATATTTTTAGAAATCCGTGTTCACCGCGAACACCCCTGTCACCGAGTGTCGCCAATATTTTTCCTACCTTGAGACGGATTTTTATGAAACTTGCTTTATTACATTGAATATTCATTACAGATCGGGAAAATAGCATTATACTGGCAAGCAAAAATTTTCACTCTTATTGCAGTAAAACCAGATTTTATACTTCGAAATATTGTAGTCTATAATTTAAGGTTTAATTTCGTGAGTTTAGACGGAAAATGAGAAATAATGGCATTTTTTGGCCGTCATTGCTGTTCGTTCGCGTTTAATGGAGCATAGAAAATTAGTCCAGATTTCCTCTAAAATAATTTATCTTGACCACACAAGGGCCTGATTTCGATGTATCGGGTTGAGAGAAATGCATGAAAATTAGAGGACACTTTAACAAATACCTTGCCATCACACTCGTTAACATTATTTACTCATAAACAATTTCAAAATCTATCAATTTAAAGAATTTAGACTAAACCCGGAGCAAAATAAAAATTCTGAATATGTGTAAATATCCGTTAATTTGGAACACAGTGGTAACAGATAAAGAAATCTGGTCCGTAAAAAGAATTTTTTAGGCAAAACAATCGTAATTAAGCAGAAAACGCCATGATATTTCAATAATATGTATTATTTCAATGCTCTTTTTAACCCCACCCCCCTTCCTTATGACAAAGACTACTTCTTTCGCCCTGTTATAAAAAGCAAACATATTTTAAATAATTTTTAATCCTTATGTGAATCAGTATGCATTAATCAAAAATTTGAGACGAAAAAACAACAAATGTTCAACGCGCAAGATCATTACATACAGTTCAACTTTTGCCATATTTTTAGAAATCCGTGTTCACCGCGAACACCCCTGTCACCGAGTGTCGCCAATATTTTTCCTACCTTGAGACGGATTTTTATGAAACTTGCTTTATTACATTGAATATTCATTACAGATCGGGAAAATAGCATTATACTGGCAAGCAAAAATTTTCACTCTTATTGCAGGTGTCATAACAGTATTTCACTTGAGGTTCACGTCAAATCATGGCTGACGCAAAATAATTCCTGAATCCTCCCTTCCGATTCGGGCATTTTAACACGAGACTGGAGCTGAATTTTTTTATGAGATGAAAAACAATATGTAAACTTCCTGTATTGACTAGATTCATTAAAATTTAGGGCGTGCTGAATTTTCTATATACTGTATTTGAGTGGGGAGTGATTAGGTCCTGGACTTGATTTTCAAGCACCTGCTCGACTTCGAGCGAAACAAACTTGCGTGCCTTGCTGGATGGCTATGTATTTTTTGGTACTAAAATCTTTATAAAGAATTGTTTTACAAGATCTGAAAAGGAAACTTCTCAAAAGTTTGTTTTCAATTAATACCACCTACTCAAAGTTGCGCATTTTTGGTAAGAATATATAGCAAAATTTAATACTGTTGTGCAACCTGCACAAGTACACCAATCTCGTAATGTGTATATCGGATATCGGTAGAGGCACATAAAATTGAACTCGATCATCGGTAGATATAATCATTCCGAATTCAGGAGCAAAAGCTGAATTTGAAAAAAAAAAGAAGAAAATCACGATAATTTCACAACAGAACTCAAATGGAATTCACCTAAATAGGTATTACATAATTATACAGTTGTTAGCGTCCGTATAACACTAAATATGTAAAATGTACGTTCCGGAATTTTCATCTCCGATTATTATTTACGTTAACGGGTGACGTCACTGGTAAGAAGTCTGACGTCTGCAAGATAGTGTCTGGAGTTAGGCTAGGAATAACGGTGAGGAATATACATAACATCAACAGTTATTTATTTACTTTATATTTCAGACTGTGTTGCATGTAAACTAACGGGTGTGTTTCTTTTATTTTAGTGTATAACATAATGTATACTTAGTTTACCAAATGAGTAAGAAAATATTAACGCAGTCAACTGTCT